TAATAGCAGCTCAGGCCCTTTCCGTCCACCCCCTCCTCTTTTACCTTGCACACACTCACGGTGCAGGGAGTCTCATTCTGGTCATTACCTTTCAGGCTTTCAAACGTGCCCTCTACATCATCAGCACACAGCTCTCCTGGTGTGTATTTAAGTGGAAAATAGGAAGAAATGGAGAGTGATCACAAGAGAGTAATGGATGGATGGATGGATATATGGAGAGAGGCACACAACAGCATAATTACAGGGAAGACCCGACCCCTCCTCCTCTATCCGAAAAACCTCCCAGGCAAGCCAACAGTAGAACAGAAAGAGAAAAAAGGTGGTGGAGGCTTTGTTGTGATTTTCATTTTCTCAGCCTCGCAGTCTGAGAGACACAAGAGGAGGAGGAGGAAAGCACAAACAAAAAGAGAGGGGTATTCTGCTCTGGAGTGTAAAGCTGCGTACATCTGTTGGGTTCATGGCCGCCTCTAGTGCCGCAGGTTGTGGATGAACCCACCATGAGGCGGGGGCTTCTCTTCTGGGATCTGTATCTCAGCTGCACACCTGTGCTACACCACGTTTAGATTTTAAATTCTTAAATGGTGGGTTAATTAGGAAATCTAGGTGGCGATCATCAGGAGAGACACAACAACCATTCTCAATAAAAGCATTCATTGTTCACTGTTCTCCTTTATTTTTAAGTACGCCACTTCCTCGTAACATTGCATATCAAAATTAAAGAGGCCCCATTATGCTTGTTTGGGTTTCCCCTTTCCTTATGTGTGTTGTATAGGTTTTTTGTGCATGTAAATGGTCAGCAAAGACTAACATCCTAATGTCTACCCTCAATTGGACACGTTTGTGTACCTCTTTAACAGAGGGATATAACTATGAAAGTTGAGGTGAGCTTTGTCTGAGTCAAACTGAGGACCTTGCAGGCCAGTATACTCCATTTGAAGTTCCTGTCAAATTGTCAAACTGTTTCCCCACACGTTTTTAAAACCGGAGGTCAGCAATATCTGCTATTTCCCTGACAATCGAAGATCTCTAACCTCACGAAGCACACCTGTCTGTGGAGTTGAGAGAGCAGCCAGGGTTTAAACTTCCCTTACTACGATAAAAGTGAACACAGTTTGGTTTACTGTAAGAATGTTCTGCTCTTAAGAACTAAGATTCTGTTTTTGTTAAATGTTAAATTGCAAATGTTCTGGTGTCACCTTGAAAACTTAAATATTCCGTTGTTTGTTTTCATGTATCATTCCAGTCAAGTCACACTAGAGAAACTACATAGCATACTGTTGAGCAACGTTAAGTCGTAGGACTGCATTTGTATGTGACTGGCACGATTACAAATGCCTATCTGATTTCGTAGGATGGTTTCTTCCAGAACAGAACCAAGATATTTCAGTTTTGGTTTCGCTCAGGATCGAGTTTCTTACAAATGAAGAATGATTTTATCATGTTCAGTTTGAAACACCTTTTACTAAACAAAATAAATATGTATTCATTTGAAAGTCAAGGGTTGTTCTTGCCGTAAGCAGCTGCATTTGAGTATTCATAATTATTGCGGTTTTACCTTTTATTTATCGGTAATATTTTTGAGAAAATTCACTTAAATCAATAATATTTAGAACTATATTATGTAGCTATAAAAAATAGCATGTTTGCAGTTATTGAATTAAATGGAACACAGCTACATATTAACGTAATGGGTAAATGATGAAGTATAACCAACCGACTGGTTCACCTAATTGGTTGAGGTTGTTGTGCTGGCATATAGCATGCACTGTTGGAATTGTGATTAATTTCCCTCTACCATTCCCCCGGGACAGGAGGCTTTTACTCTGAAGTGCTCGGGTCAATAGCCACTGATACACATGGGTAACCTATAAATCCATCCCTGTGTCCTTTCTTTAAATAATTCATAAGGAGGTGGGTTTGGGCGCTGCATTTTGGGGGAGTTTGTCCACAAACATGGCATGTGTCTGTCCTTTTACAGATTGGAGCTTGTTTTAATGCATTCTCTTTCATCTAAATGATATGGAAACCAGCTCCCAGAGGGAATTAGCAACCAGCTGAGAGCCTCTCTCCAGGGCTGATGCTAGTGTTTTCTGCTTTATTCCGAAGGGGAATACCAAACAAACCAACCCGGAAAATCATTATTCACCACAGCCCCACATTAAAGGACAGAAATCCCTCAAAATCAAACAAAAGGCGAAAAATCTCTTAAAACTCTCCGCACGTGGTATTTTTTGTATACAAGAACATTTCGAAAAACACAAAAGATGTTTCACAATGTCTGCTTTTTGCATGTGAAACTAAGGGTCAGACACTTTGTTTTACTCAGGATTTCCTGTCTGAGGGGACAAAGCAGACATGACACAAGGAAAAGAGATGTAGCCTGTTGGTTTACAGCCAACGAGGAACAGATTCCTGTTGACACAACTTACTTTGTGAACCATGTTTGCAGTGATTATGTTACACAGGGTACTGGAAACACTGAAGACCTTTACGGTCAAAACAGGAACTCTCAGCAATTTTGTGGTAAAACGTTTAGACTAAATCTCTCTACTAAACATAGATGTGGCCTCTGAACTGGATCTGGATTGATTTTCACTGCTAAGCCCATTGATTGCTGTTGACCCACAAAAAGACTCTAGAAAACACTCCAGTGTCTGACCCTGAATTAGGCCTGAAGCAGAAAGCCTGTTTACGTGTATTAAAGTGCTCATAACATCCATGTTTCCCCTCCTGACATCAGCTATGCAGTTATAGTTTTTTTATATTGCATCACCTGTACCTTGCATCAAGAGTAACGTGACATAGTTTGTGTTTTGCTACAAGTTAAATGTTAAAGGCAACTTTTGAGAAATTAAATAACAGACTAATTTGATTCAGTGAGCTGCATTCATGTCTCTTTTCCACTTGTTTTTGTCACAATAGCTTCTAGTAACTATCTAAATCACTGTTTAGCTAACTAACAGTAGTTTAGCAGTTGGCAAAGGCTGGTGTTTATCAATAGCTTAGCATGTTAGCATTTTAGCTAAATATCTATCTGACTAAACCAATGTTTGAATGACAGTATTTTAGCATTTAGCAGAGCCTGCTGCTTGGCAATAACTTAGCATGTTAGCTAGATTACTCAACCACTGTTTAGCTAACAATATCATTTAGCAGAGCCTGCTATTTAGCAAAAGGGCCACTCTACCAATTTGCCAAAGGGTTGGCTCATTTCCAATGTGGCTCATGGAGGAAGTCATGCCCTAAGGTCTAAACTGTATCAAATGTTTTAGAGCTTAAGCTAAGGCTAAAGATCAGGATTTCATGTCCTCAGCTTCTTCGGTTTCGATTATTATTATTTTAATCCTTCCCTTGTGAGCCTTGCAACTTTCTGTAAGTGTAGTACCCTTTTTGATTTCATGTTTTTAATGTTGTCTATGTTTTGAACAAATAGCATGCATAGCATTATCTTGATAAAGGTTTTTTTTTATTTGTTAAGTAAACAACATCATTAACTCATACCTGCACATATAAATCAATTGGATGGATTTAATTTGCACACCTGTCACATGCCAGACTTTGATCAAGAGTCTGATCTGTTCTCAGAACCAGTCTGGCAGGAACTTGTTCTCTTGCAAAAGTGTTGAATTGTATGAACCAGCATGACAACAGTATCATATACCCTAACTGACAAATGCTCTCATTCAAATGTCTGGGAAAACAACAAGATGTGTGGGAAAGAAAAGGAAAAAATGCTGATGAACAACTTTTGAACACACAACAAGGCTTTTAGGAGAAGGTGGGAACACACCATGAACTCAGGTCACACTGTCCCCAGGTTGACTGGTTGTTTAATCTCGTTTACTCGCCTTGTATGGATAAGGTTGTTAATGGCCCGTGATTGGCGAGCAGCAGCAGCGGTGTTGGAATATTCTGTGACGGTTAATAGCTTTATTGAATCGGAAGCGCTGACCCCATTAAAAGCGGAACATCCCAGACTAAAGTCAACACAAAGCAGCGCTGCCTTTGCAGTTTGTCACTGTGTGAGTCAGAAAGAGAGGAGGCAGCACATGTTGCTCTCATGAGCACAAATTCAATCTGTACACTCCTGTGTCTTTGTTCTCTGTCACTCATATAATTAATGTCACCGTTTCCTCATGCCAGGCCTGCACATTACTTTTTACGTGCGATATATTTTAAGAGCTCTGTATTCATCCTGTTTTTCGCCGACCACAGCACCACACACACACACGCACGCACGCACACACACACACACACACACACACACACACACACACACACACACACACACACACACACACACACACACACACACACACACACACACACACACACACACACACACACACACACACACACACACACACACACACACACACACAGGATATCATATGCCTGACTCTCCATTGTTTGGTTTGTCCAGGAAACAGGATATTCACACAGAGAGCACACCAGCTGACCACAGAGCCAAAATAGAGATTAAGTTTCATTTTTTTACTTTCAAACAGTAGACATTTTTCTCACTTCCTTTCAGTTTCACTGTAATGTTCCTGTCAACCACTTCACCTGTCCTAATAGAATTGTTAATAGAATATATTAACAATTCTAATGTAGGTTTCTGACCAGCAAAGCATTCATGTTGACATGTCAACAGCTCTACACCCAGCAGAAAGTAAAAGGCATGATGAATGAAGGCTCAGTTCACAGGAGGTGTGGGATCATTTCTAAACAAACACACATTAGCAGTGTTTTGTATTCATATGGTGAAGCATAAGACAAAAGAAACACCCTTTTCCCACAACATATTGGATAAAATGGAGCAACAACGTACCAAAAATGAGCAATAAGTGCAAGTTATTTAAAATGCAAGATAACAAAACGCACCGTCAGAAAAGCTGTTACAGGTAATCACAAAACCGGATTCTTTTTTTTAAACTAACAAAAAAGAATTCGATCCAACAGATTACACTGTATTTGTATGGATATGAATCGTTCCTAACCTTGTGTCTTTTGTTGTGATCAGATCGCTGCCACTTTATTGTCTGCGCGCGGAGCGGCACCGGGTCAGTCAGATAAATCCAGCTCCTCTCCTTATATGATGAGATTTACGCAGAATAAAAACAGGTTGGCAGTGGATGAAGAGTTGGTTTAGTTCATTTGCAAAGTCCAGGACGGGAAGCCGAGCGCCGTTCGGCATAATAACATTGTCTGTTTCGCGCACTCACACAGTGTGTCAGTCCCATCCATCCACACTCCTCCTCCTCCTCCTCCGCTTCACACATACAGGATGGGACAGATGAATTTGGCGCTGCCTGTGCGCCACTGCTGGCCAACAGAGGGGCGCTCTCTCTGCTGCAAACACTACTGATAGTGGAAATGAATTAGCTGTTTTGAATTAAAAATCAAACACTCTCTCCAGGGTAGGGTTATCTGTTGTAAAAGATAAATGGATTTAAAACAACTGCAACATTTGTTTTATCATATCTCATCCTCAGTGTGTTACAGTTCATAAAGCACATTTACTTTTGTATTTTTAAAGTAGGCTATAAGTATAGGACTATTTTCCCTACACACAAAAAGGTTTGATGAAATGTAGTATGCTTTGCTTAAGTATATTCTTTTCATTTCAACGCCGCTACAATTCATAGGGAGATATTATAATTTTTATTTTACTAAATATATTGTTTAGATTTTTACTTTTTTTGCAAACAACACATACAATGATGTGTTGTTTTGAATTAAACTAACTAATAGTTTACGCAAGAAAAACGTAATCAATTAGCCAATTGAGAAAAATAATTGGTATTTATAAATATCTATTGTGTAGGTTTACGTTCTTTAAGTACATTTTGCTTTGACAGTTTATCTACATTTTGCTACTTACTTTTACTTAAGTAACCATTTGAATACCAGTATTTGTACGGTGTGGTATTAGTACTTTCACTTGACTAAATTATCTGAATATGTTTTCCAACACAGCAAATAGGCTAACATGCACAGTACGTTTAGACTTGCTCCATTTATTTATATTGTCTTTTCTTGTCAGATGCACAATGTATGTCCTATAGAGTCCTGTTGTTGGATAATCAGACAGAGGATGTAAGTCCAAAATTCATTCTCTTTTTGACTCTGTTTTAGGTCTCCACCACCTCAGAAAAATCTATCTATCTATCGATCTATCTATCTATCTATCTATCTATCTATATATCCATCTATCTATCTATATATCTATCTATCTATCTATCTATCTATCTATCTATCTATCTATCTATCTATCTATCCATCTATCATCCATCCATCCATCTATCTATCTATCTATCTATCTATCTATCTATCTATCTATCTATCTATCTATCTATCTATCTATCTATCTATCTATCTATCTATCTATCTATCTATCTATCTATCTATCTATCTATCTATCTATCTATCTATAAATGCTTCACTTTTGAAGAACTGAGAATGATTTTTTAGAACATTATTCGAAGCATTTAGACACATTGTAGATGTTCCAGTGAGTGCCCGGTGAGGGGAAGGAAAGGAGTGCCACACTGTTGTGGCTTCATGACAGACTGAACAATGGAAAAGCTCGGCAATCCCCAGAAACTGCAGCAGCGAGGAAATGGGAGGAATGAAACTGTCCAGTTTATTGCAAACCAGTTGAACCATAGTGTCAGCAGGGCAGCTCTGAGGTTTCCCTCGGCTATTTCAGCAGAGTAACACAAACAAGGATGAACCTTCACGTGCAGGCAAAGGCATGAGTGTGTGTGTGTGGAACACAATGCTTTCTCTAAGTCTAAATGAGTGACTCCAGGGACAGCCCCCCATCCCCCTCCCCATTTGTGAGGATTTCTGGTAGCCCGTGATTAGGCTCACCCCGGTGCCATGTGTGCACCAAGTGCCCCCCCCATCAACCCCCCTCACCCCCACCCCCTACACTTGCACACCAAATCTCTGCCTGGCCTCAGCTCCTGTTGAGATTAGCCCACTAGCTATTGTTCTGATGACACTCCATAAGCTATACTCTCATTATGTTAATGCTAGGACTGCGTAACTGGGTGATTTTGAAGAATAAAATATGTGTGGTGGTGAATGTACATGAACACATGAAATGAAATCAAATAAGCAATACTTTTATTCACATCATGTTTAGAGTTACATTTTCTATTGTGTATGGAGGACACTAACACATGGTACATATAAGCTATACTCTCATTATGATAATTGAAATAGAGTATTGTGTATCTGGGTGATTTTAAAGAATAAAATATGTTTGGTATCATCTTGGAACGTAGTGCAAAAACCACATAAAATGCGAGAAATGTAATACAAATGAGTACAATTTTAATCACATCATGTTTTGATATACATTTTCTATTTTTTAGAAGATGAGCACTGACAACACTACATGCTGTATAAGCTATACTCTCATTATGATACAGACAAAGACAGCACTGCGTAACTGGGTGATTTTGAATAACAAAATATATGTATCATCTGGGAATGTTTTGCAAACAACATATAAAATGCAAAAAAAAGAAGCTTTTAGAAAATGTCAATCAACATTCTGATGATTTTATTTGCTCAAGTTAAACAACTGACAAAACCAAATCCTGAAAACAGTCTAAGTGCGTGTGTGTGTGTGTGTGTGTGTGTGTGTGTGTGTGTGTGTGTGTGTGTGTGTGTGTGTGTGTGTGCAGAAGGAGGAAACTATGAATTGTAAATACAAGGGGATTATGTTGTGCTTGGGAACAGATGTTAACATGGAGAGGTCTGCCCTCCTGAGAGCGGCCCCTCACTCACACACTGTCCCACCACACTCATTGGCCCGTTGTCAATGTGCATCCTGTCTCTCTTTAGAAGCACAACACCCCCCCCCCCCCCCCCCCCCCGCCCATTTCCAGGACAGATTAACTCTGCACCCCCTCTTCTTCCCATCAGCCTTGACCTTGATGGGCTGGTAATGTCATCTTCTTTTGTGCGTTGAAAGACATTGCCAACTTTCATGCTTCCCCTTTAAAGCACACTTGCATGCATTCATGATATGAATAAAGAATGGATGACAATAAGAACCATCAACAATAAGTGAGCACTGAACCATCCGTCCCATCTCCGTCTTCTCAGCGGACCTCTAAGCAGGTCAGCTGTTGTTCTGCTGTCCTCCTGCCACCAGTCTTCATTCTTCTCCACAGCATGGCCACTTCAGTGTGTCTTAAGTGTTTTCCAGGTCATGGTGAAGGAATTAAGTTGCCCTTCGCAGTGTGTTGCCTCCCATGAAAAATGTGATAAAAGAAACTGGGGACCAGGAATACGTAAAACAATTATTGAAACAAACCATGTGTTGTTAAAATGACCGTATAGCAATCTGTAAAATGTGCGATGACTTCACAACATTTGGCTTATTTAACCTGTTATACTGTTTATACAAATGGAAACAAATATTAGTGAAACCTACCATATTGTTTTGTACGCCAAACATGTGACCATTAAAATACATTTCTGTTTGTACATGTACAAAAATAAGTGTCAGTTCATTATCTTCAAATCCCCTGAAACCCACTAAACTACTAAAAATGTAATTACCTGTAAAAACAGGCCAGGACTTGTTGGAAAGAGGCCACATGAAGGCATCTGGTTGTGAAAACTGCAGGGACCTTTGTGGAGTGTACTTCACCTCACTCAGTGCTAGATATGGAGATACAGTATACCTCCAATTTGGGTGAAAACTAAAAGATTGATTGCGATGTCTGGAGGACTTTCCTGGAGGCTAAAACAACTTTCATTTGAAACTGAGGATCTGAAATCAAGAAAACGTACTCAACAAAAACCAAGCAGTGAATATTATTGAAGTCTAAATTATCTCTAACTGATTTGTTTCAACCTTCGATATGTATGTGTTTTAAATTGTCGTCTGTGTTTGGCAGATTAAAATGTCCTGAATGATAATATGTGTTGATTTACAATGTCGGATACCTGACTCAATAGCTTGGCAATTTTGCAACAGCAAGGTAACTTTAAATGACGGCAGCACTGATAAAGGTTTTCTGTAACTGTCCAAGTGTCACGATCTTAGTTTTATCTCACGGTTTTAGTTTGGTCTGTCTTGTCATGGTTTTATTTTGCAATTCTGTTCTCCCTGTGTCTTGTCTTCCTCCCTGTCGTTAGTTTCCCTGGTGTGTCTGATTGTCTGATTGTGTTCACCTGTTTCCCTTGTGTTTCTCCTCCCCTGCCCGGCTGTTTCTCGTCTCGTGATTACCCCTCCCTGTATTTAGTCTTGTCTCTTCCTGTGTTCGGTGTTGGTTCATTGTTTGTCTTTCATGTCTCCCTTCAAGTTGGTCACAGTCACCTTTTGTTTGGATGCTACCTCGTGCTACAGTACCTGTTCATGGATTCTTGTTTTTTTCAGCTTTTGTAAATAAAGCTTGCCTTTTGTTTCATTTTGAAACCTGCTTCCCTCCTCAATCTGCATTTTGGGTCCTATTTTTCCCCAACCCTGACAGAATGAACCAACCACATATGGACCCAGCAGATGATCCATTTGAAGTGGAGTTGTATTCATTTACCTACTTGCTGGCTTGCAGCTATGGTAAATGGAGGGGAGCAACCAGTGCGGAGCAAAAGAGGGCTGCCCTGGCAGAGGCGTACCGGAGGGCAACAGAGAAACCAGGGTTAGTGAAGTTCTTACCTGGCTGGATTATGGACTTCTTCCAGACATGCGTTTCCCGGCCTGCTAGCCCCCTGCCTGCCACAGTTCCCAACATAGCTTATATCGAGAACGCTTTTGATGGGTCTCGTCTGGCTTTTGGAGGTCCACGGAGCCTCCAAAAGGCTCCTAAGAGAAGGAGATCCAGGTCCAGGCTACCAGCACCGGCCCCAGCAGCCATGGTTCCGGCTCCAGTACCGGCCCACACAGCCATGGTTCCGTGCTCCAGTGCCGGCCCACACAGCCATGGTACCGTGCTCCAGTACCATCCCACATAGCCATGGTTCCGTGTTCCGGTTCCGTGCCCAGCAGCCATGGTACCTGCTCCAGTACTGGCCCACACAGCCATGGTTCCGGCTCCAGAACCGGCCCACACGGCCATGGTTCCAGCATCAGTTCTGGCCCCAGCAGCCATGGTTCCAGCCCCAGTTCTGGCCCCAGCAGCCATGGTTCTGTACCGGCCCACAAGGCCATGGATCCATGCACCAGTACCGGCCCACACAGTCATGCTTCCGTGCTCCATTACCTGGCTCACACAGCCAGGGTCCAGGGTCCAGGCTTCTGTTCCGTGCCCAACAGCCATGGTTCCGGCTCCAGAACCGGCCCCAGCAGCCATGGTTCCGGCTTCAGTACCGGCCCCAGTAGCCTTGGTCCAGACTCTAGTTTCGGCTCCAGTACTGGCTCTCCGGCCGACGCCAGCTCCCCGTGTCCTGTCGGCGTACCGGCCGACTCCAGCCCCTCGTCTCCTCTCGAGTCCCCTCTCGAGTATCCTCTCGAGTCCCCTCTCGAGTCCCCACTCAAGTCCCTTCTCTAGTCCCTACTCAAGTCCCTACTCAAGTCCCTACTCCATGTCCTGTCCCGTTGGTGGTCCTGCCAACCCTATGTCCTGTCCCGTTGGGGGTTCTGCCGACTACTCTTCTGCCGGGGGTCCTGCCAACCCTATGTCCTGTTCCGTTGGGCGTCCCGCCGACTACTCTTCTGCCGGGGGTCCAGCCAACCCTATATCCTGTCCCATTGGGGGTCCCGCCGACTAATCTTCTGCCGGGGGTCCTGCCAACTCCATGTCCTGTCCCGTTGGGGGTCCCACCGACTACTCTTCTGACGGGGGTCCTGCCAACCCTATATCCTGTCCCATTGGGGGTCCCGCCGATTACTGTTCTGCCGGGGGTCCTGCCAACCCTATGTCCTGTGCCGTTGGAGGCCCCGCCGACTACTGTTCTGCCGGGGGTCCTGCCAACTCCATGTCCTGTGTCGTTGGGGGTTCCGCTGAGAGTCCTGCCAACCCCATGTCCTGTTCCGTTGGAGGTTCCGCCGTCACCTGTCTCGCCGGGGGTCCTGCCAACTCCTTGTCCTCTTCCGTGGGGGATCCTGCCGACACCTGTCCTGCCGGGGGTCCTGCCTACTCCTTGCTTTGTTGCGTTGGTGGTCCAATCGACACCAGCCCTTGCTCCATCCGGGGTCCCATTGACACCAGCCCATGTCATGTCCAGGATCCCATCTACGCCTGTCCCACCGGCTCCGGTTCCTGTCTGGCCGACACCGGCTCCCTAATTTCCCCAGCCGCGGCTTTTGTCCTTGTGCCCGGCCCCCTGAGTTCCCCAGCTGCGGTCTTCGCCCTCGAGCCCGGCCCCCTGAGAGCCGCGGTCTTCGCCCTCGAGCCCGGCCCCCTGAGAGCCGCGGTCTTCGCCCTCGAGCCCGGCTCCCTGAGAGCCGCGGTCTTCGCCCTCGAGCCTGGCCCCCTGAGTGCTGCGGTCTTCGCCCTCGAGCCCGGCCCCCTGACTTTCCCGGCAGCGGTCTTCGCCCTCGAGCCCGGCCCCCTGAGTGCCGCGGTCTTCGCCCTCGAGCCCGGCCCACTGACTTTCCCGGCAGCGGCCCTCGCCCTCGGGCCCGGCCCCCTGACTCTTCCAGCCGCTGCCTTCGCCCTCATGCTCGGCCCCCTGAGTTCGCCCGCTGTGGCCTTCGCCCCTTTATGAACTCTGCCTTGCCCCCGGACCGTCCTCCTGAGACCCTCACCACGAACTCTGCCTTGCCCCCGGGCTGTCCGCCCGAGACCCCCACAATGAACTCTGCCTTGCCCCCAGGCCGTCCGCCCGAGACCCCTTCCTGGTCCGTCAGCCCAAACCCATCCTCCAGACCCCCTCCACCCACCCTTTTGGCCCTAGTGATGCAAATCAAGATTGAGTATACAACTAAGCTGTGTAATGAATGAAATAAAGTTATGATCAGTGCATGTAGATAGATATATAGATGGATAGATAGATAGATAGATAGATAGGAATTCTTATTAGCTTACAATATACCTTCTTGACAATGAGTGCAGTGCCTGTTCACTGCTGCCTATTTTATATTCTCTATGCAAACTTTACTAATATGAAGTGTCTCATGTCCTAGTTGCACTACCTGGGTCCTCAGAAATCACCCACCAAGCATGAAGAGACTAACTGTTTGAGTTTTTACTTGTTCTCTGGTGCAGAAACATTGTTTTTTACATCATCATCAGTCATGTATTATACTCTTTGTGCATGTTGTTTTTCCAGAGCATTTTTATAACATTATAGTGGTGGGGAACATGTCCTTAGCTTCCTGAGCATTAATGAAGCAGGCCTATGTGTGTTGTCCCCTGAGTGACTTTGAGCATATAGCTGCTGAAAGGACCTTGAGTCGGCTTGTACTGAAGTGTCCTGCTTCCTCACGTAGTCTCGGTGTAATTAGGTTATCGTGCAGAGAGAAGTAAAGGGCGCACAGACCAGGGTGTGCATGACGGCCATACTGAGACGTGTTATTTCTGGGCAATCAAGTCTCATGACTTTCACTTTTCCTTTGGCTGAAAACATAATGTGATCACACTGTGAGAGAATTGAAACAATGTTTTCAGATAATCAGGACACAGCTGGGAAGACCTTGTGCATCATCAGGGAGCTGAGTAATGAGTAATCATCTGACAAAAATAAGATGCTAAACTCAAACCTTTCCCTGCCTTATTCATTGTTTGGTTCCATTATGTCTAATTAAAGGTTATTTGCTTTCTATGCACACTCTTTATAACTACCGGTGGTCTAGCATTAAGATAATCACTTTTTGTATTACTGAAACTTTATGTTTGAATGTGAAAATGTGGCAATATCTCATACATGTGCGCTTTGTATACATTTGCAGAACAGAAATATGATCCTTGGATGAAGCCAGGTTCAATTGATTCATTCTTTTATTCAAGTCAAACGATTTTACAGAGGAGCATTTTGGATATACCTTTTTATAGTTTGATTAATCAGAAAATACTGGCCATAGACAAAACACAATTTCTTTCTATCAATGATTATGTCAAGATTTCTGGCACAGAGAATGAGACATTTCAGATTTAAGAAGTATCTTAATGCAACTAAGATACTTCTTAGTGCAAGTATCAGTGCTAAATATATAGCAGTATACAAAACATATAAATAGACGAAGTTAGTAAAAAACAATCATGTAGTTTGTGTGTTTTGTTGTTGTAAAGGAGATTTTATGGAAGCCCAAACTCTCAAAAGTGCATTCAGGAAATTATGCTTTTGCCAATGAAGTCTGTTATTGCACATGGTATAACCAATATAATGTATCTTATTCAACATGAGCCCCTATGTTGCTTTGCTCCAGAATGAATGACCTTACCCATATATTCAGTCAGCATTGAGGCTGCCTGTCACAGTGAGTGAAAGTTCCTTTAAAGGGATGTTATAGTGCCATCCAGTGGAGTAATATGTGTTGTGCAGTGTGCAGTGTAACGCGTTACTAAGTAACGCCTTACTGTAACGCCGTTATTTTTGGCAGTAACTAGCAGTGTTGCCAACTTGGCGATGTTCTCGTTAAATTTGGCGGCTTTCCAAACCCTCCGGCTACTTATTTGTGTCAAAAGCGACTAACGCCTAATCTAACGATTTATAATGGTGTTATTAGGGACTTTTCTGGTGTTTGGAGACTCACGTATTGTTCTGCAGTTAACGAGCCGCGGGTGCTGCCGTGAGCCCCGCCTCCCTCCCATAGTACTCACAGGCGCTCAGACTGCCTGGCCGCAGCAGAGCTACTGCTGCAGTCAGAGCAGAGAGGAGACTATCACTACCCGATCTGCAGCTCTGCCCGATCTGCAGTGCGCATGTGCGAGATGGTCCGCCATATTGGACAACGCCGGACGGCATCCCAAGTAGGACAACATTGACACAGTGGCTTTTGGCAAAGCTCAAAAGGAAAACTCGAGAGAGATGAGTTATTGTTATTACAACGTGACTTCACTATTATTTAACAACTATTTTTATTGGGTTATTTTATTTGGGGTTAAGTACATTGTCAGAATAAGTGAGACATGGATTTAACTTCTGTTATATGCCATACATTTTTGCACACATTCACAGTAAATATTTATTCAGTATGATAGCTGTCTAACAGAAGTTAAATTCATTTCTCACTTATTCTGACAATGTACTTAACCCCAAATAAAAGAATCCAATAAAAAGAGTTGTCCAATATGGCGGACCATCTCGCACATGCGCACTGCAGATCGGGCAGAGCTGCAGATCGGGCAGAGCTGCAGATCGGGTAGTGACCATATATAGTCTATGGTAGGCCCAATCCCAAACCACTCCCTCGACCCTACCCCTCCGTGATGGAGTGAACTCCGTCTGTAGCCACACTCGCAGCTCAACGAGGCTCCCTCCTGTCAGATGGAGGGAGTAAATACAGCAGCAAGCTTTGGGACGGCCTCCCCTCTCTCCGGCAGAAACAGGAAATGCCGTAACTGTATGTAACAACGGTTTCAAATCAGCATCTCTTAGACAAAAAGTTTAAATGAATAACTCAAATAAAACTCCAAACATCTTTCATTGTGTTTCAAAGCTCTTTTAGTTTTAAACCTGATGTTTATAAGCTTCTTAGTTTTTGCAACGGTCTGTAAATATACACAACTTTATAATAAAATGCACACATTTACCTTTTTCTAGACTAAACACAGGTATGATCCTAAGTTAAAAACATATGAGGTCATCATGAGGTTGTTAAAGGGAAATGGAAACACTTTTCAAACGGCTTTCCATGCGACAATATTCCCATTAGAAAATGTATTTATCTAGTCTATTTCCAATGTAAACGATCGAGATACGCGAATTAATTTTTTGAAATACGTGCCTAATGACCATGGGCGCTTCCATTGCTCCGGGACTTTCCCAGTGACGTCACTGAGTGGGTACGGCTTCCTGGGCCAAAGCTCAATAACAAACAACATGGCGGAAAATGCACCAGTAGTTTACATTAAAAGAAAACGGTCGTCGTCAGGAGTTTATTGTATTGCCCCAGGCTGCACAAATGGATTTTATACGAAGAAGGAAGAAGTACATTTCCATAGGCTGCCACTAACGGATGAGAAGCTGCTCAAAGCATGGGTTATTTCCATGAAACGGTCCGATCCGCCGCTGAATCAGTACGCACGTGTGTGCAGCGAACACTTTACAAATGACGATTATGTCCACAAAATGAGGTTTGATGAGTCTGGATGCTTGGTTCAATACAAAACATCGGATTTGAAGCCAGGATCTGTTCCCACAATATTCGATTTCTCAACGTATGCAGTCGGGAACACCGACCGTCCCAGCACGTCGGCCGCGCAAGACAATGACAGTGTCAACAAACGTGAAGTTCGAGCCACCAAACGAGTTGCTTCAGCTGCCGAGAGAGAGGTAAATATTGCAGCACTACCAGATTACTAGCTCACACATGTATTTACTGACACAGTGTGACCTTATTAATTAACGCAATCGCGTCCAAACTAAATGGTAGCTATTATTATGACGTACAATGGAGAATTGGGGGTGTTCTATAGCTCAACTAATTAAACTGGCATACACACGCTCATCTGTCGAAAACAGCCCTAAAAAGGCTAGTATTGCTGGACTAGGTGTTCAATGGATGGTATTGCCAAGATGTATGAGGTGTTGGAAAATAATATAAAATATATGTCAACTGACCACTGAGACCGAGTCGGTACTGGAACTGGTGGTATCCCACTCGGTGAGTTCAGAACCGTCGGTACTTTCGGCGGATTCCGGATCGTATGCCACTCTAGTATTCGACCGAATCGGTTCATAAGCATAGGCCATGGGATGCCTGGTAACTGTAGATGCTTCCACATCAATGTCATCTCCCGACGAATAGTCAAATTCATCGTTCAAAACGTCGATCTCATTGCAAAATTCCTCCATCGCTGCCATATCTGCTACGTTGTGTTGACTTCCGGTGTGGATACCCGGAGCGAAGACCCACCCAGTGACGTCACCATTTGGGACTCCCCTAATGGCGGCGGCCTGGTCCCGGAATTCCCCACCCAGCCGGCGGATAATTAATTTTCTTTTGGCGAGTAATATCATATACAATAAATATTACGATCAATATCCATTGTAAAATGAATAAACTCCCGGAATATTATAGCTGTAATTGGTGTTTCCTTTCCCCTTTAACATCGCAGTTTATCAGTGGATGTTTGCTGGAACTAGGCTACTTGTAAACAGCGTGTTTCCTGACGGACACACACAGCGGGACTCCGGTCAGGTAGAGACCGGTCTCAAGTCAGCACCGCTGCAGACTCGCTGTTTGAGGGCTTGATAGCCCACTCCCCCTCCACACTCGTTGCTTTGGAACAGCCCTCAATATGGCGGACCCTCCGCGTGAACGCGGAAACGGAGGGGTAGGGTGTAGGGGTAGGGTGTAGGGGGCGGTTTGGGAATGGGCCGTAGTGACAGAGACAACCACACTCCCCCGCGTCGAGACTGCAAATGAATTGCGCATGCGCCAACTGCCAAGCCGTCCTGGTTTTGAGCGGGATTAAAATGTAAATGTTTCTTCACTCACTTTCAAACTATAATAAATAACTGCCTTTGCTTTGCTTTGACTCACACAGCCTCAGTCACTCAATCACCTCGTCCACTGTGTGTGTGCCTCTCTGTGACAAGCTAAACATCTCTGTGACAAGCTAAACATCATGATGCTTTCCTGGAGAAGTCCAGAATTTGATCCTTGAAGGGTTGGGAACGTTTTTTGTACTCCCCTCGACCATGCTCTCTCCTACAGCCGCCATTACATGATATGAAAATTAGGCGATGACGTCATTTAGCGACTTCTGGCGACTTTCCGGACAGCCAATAGCTACTTTCCTTACTATGGAGTTGGCAACACTGGTAACTAGTACTCTAACGCATTACTTTTTTAATTCACTAACGCAGTTACCGTTACTACATGGTGCGTAACTCCGTTCGTTTTTTTATATAGTCAACAGCCAGGCGAACAGAGATGAGTACTGCACTTAGTAAATGTACTTAGATACTTCCTGTGTCACATGCGGAGACGCGCTGTGGGCGTGTTTGTGTTGTTTACTAACAAGACTATCATGGCGGCGGCGGAGCTCAAGTCTAGTTTCTCCACCTGGAGATATTCTCACTATTTCACTTTTGTCGAGCACAAAGAAAAGAAAGTTTCTGTTAAATGTAAGTTGTGTCTTGGCGGGTCAAAGATCCTATCTACTGCCCAAACCAGTAATTCAAATCTCTTAAAACATCTGCAAAAACAACATGCTGGGACGAAGCTAGTAGCTAAGACCACAGAGACTCAGCCGACGCCACTCCACCTCCACCTAAGCAACAGCGGCTGGATTTTAACCAAAGGACTGCTGTCCAGGGAAAAGTCGATAAAGCCATTGCACGGTATGTTGTAGAACACATGCAGACTATTGCTACAGTGGAGTCACCCGCTTTCAGGGAGCTAGTTAGCATGATAGCGTGTCCGGGCGGCACACGGCATATGGGACGGAAAACTTTTTCCAACTACCTGGAGAAAGAATATACAAAAATGGAAAGCCAGCTAATATCGATGCAATCCAGATTGCATATAATGCATGTCAAGTTGATCAACAGATTGTATTATTCTCCAATGCAATAACAGTACTGAAAGGAAGGCTATAAGGGCATTAATGGGAGCCATTTTTATAAGTAAAGAAAACGTTACTTTTCACAGTAACGCATTACTTTTTGGTGTAAGTAACTAGTAAAGTAACGGAGTTACTTTTGAAATGAAGTAACTAGTAATGGTAACTAGTTACTGGATTTCAGTAACTAGCACAACACTGGCCGTGTGTGACAGAGAGAAGAGATTTACACAGCTTTATTTAATTTCTTTCATTTTTCTTTAATGTCGAAACATATAGATTTTCTGTTTGAGGCATTTAGTCTTCATTTAAATAATAATAACACAATTCTTTAACATTTTAGGAGCCCTCTAACAATGCAACACAAGAATACAGATAAGCAGACAATATTAACCAATATTAAAATATACTATATTAAAAGTAATACAAAAAGAAAAATGTTTTTTTTAAAAGTGAGAGAAAAAAAAGTGGAATAGTGAAATACGAGTCTTCATACAAGTTATTGGAATGATATATTAGATAAATAATTTCTAAGTAGCAGATTAATGTTATGAGTTGTTTAACAGATTGTGCTCATTTTTCAGGTTCATATTTGTAGTTTGTGCCTTTACTGTGACAAATTGACATGCTTTGTTATTGGTCACCACCGCTTAGAGATATCCCGCCCCTAAGCCTATCCCGTATGTCTTGTAAAGCTAGCCAATGGAAGCTCAAGTGTTACACAGTGATGTCACTATGTTATGGAGGTAAACAAAGGAGTCCAATGGAGGCGTTTCAGGGGGGTCGGAGAGAAACTCTCGCTGGAGGGAACACAGGGATTTAAGCCTTTGCAGACCATTAACATGCACAAAAACCAATATACCATAATAGGGCCTGTTTAATCAATCTAAATAAAAGTATGCGAGTCTGGAGGAATAACCAAAATGAAAAAAAAAGATGGCAGAAGCCTAGGACAGCTATACCAAGGGGGGGGGGGGGGAGGGAGGGGGGGGGGGGGGGGGGCAGGATTTGAATTAAATAAACAAAATAAATTCAAAGTGAAGTGGACACTAATTCTGGTTGGTTTCATATTTGTATTTGGCGCCCTCTGCCGAAAATGTGTATCTATTGCAACAGCCAGCTATAAATCTACAGGGACTGGGTTGTTGAAGCTCAAGCTACTTTTGTTAGTGTGCCTTTTCACAGCACATAGTTGATCAAATTACTTTTTCTCTGGGTTTGTGGAGCCGCCAAGGAGCCAAACACAGCCTTAAACTTGATCACCCCAGTCTGACAAGGCTTTCAGCTGCAAATCTGTCTGACCCTGAACCCCAAACCTCCAGACATGGAAGAGAACAACTTCCCTGGAGGTACAAAATAACAAAAAACAACACATCTTATCACCTTTGTTTATGATGCCCTCCGTTATGACTGTTTTGACGTCTTGCTACTCACAGGCCCTGAAGTCATGTTAGTTCGACTATGAGATGAACTCTACGCTGCAGAGTGCGTAGGAGAGGCATAAACATGTGTCAAAGCCACATTTAAAATGATAGGAACCTTTTCTACTAGTTCATGCTCATTCAAAATAAGTTTCTATTTGAACAAGAAGGAAAATGACACAGCACAACACAAATCTGACCTTAAACTACTCTGTCAACTTAATTCATGTTGGAGACACATGAATTACAGTATGTTGTGTCACATGGATTTAGTATCGCGATAGTGAGGATACAAAGAAATTGTAAATTATTCCCAGTGAGTAATCAGATCACTGGATTTTTTCCAAAAGATGACGATAACTAGCCGGATCAAAATGCAACAATATTTTTTAAAATACAGATCAATATAAGTGGATGGCCTGAATTTTGGTTTTAGTTTAGGCTACTTTCAATCCTTTTTAATTTAAATATATATTGTTTAAAGGCAGTAGAATGGCATACATTTTTTAAGTAAACCCTCCCAACCCATGGTTATTTCGTTATGTCTATGTCTTGGTTCGAATAATATAACTGGTCCCAGCACGGACCAACCCCTTGTCAAACTGGTCACTTCTACTGCGATGTCACACCCAACAATTGGACAAATAAGGAAAGAAAAAAAGATAAGAAAACAAATAAAACCAATAGGATTAATTCAGTTCTTCAAATAATTTGTTTGGTGGCTCAGATACACGTATATAATCTGGGCAGTCTTTACAGAGAACTTCTGTAGCCTCTGGAACAGTTTGGAAATGTGATGGATGTGAAAAGGCCATATAAAAAGCTTGAACTAACCAAGAATACGATAAATAGAGGCAGTATGTTGTTGTGTTGGGAATGACGCCCGGAGACAGTTAGGCTATTTGAACCGTAATCAGGTATTGAGAAAATATATACAGTAAAGCATTATTTGTTCAAATGCATATACTGCAACAGATCTCAGTAGTACAGTTAATGTTCCAGCAGGGGATAGTCTTACACTTTTTTTTTCACCCCACTGATCCAGTAACCAACAATGCAACATTTGTTCCCTGATATCATGATATTTACAAAGAAAACACATGATTATTATATGGTGTATTTACACATGATGAATACACATGTCTGGACATGTATGGAGATTGCATATACATCCTTATCTTATCCTTCTTTATGTTGCAGACTATTTATTTAGTTTTTTGTATTACTGTCATGTGTGATGAGGTAGTCCATATGTTAAAGTAAGAATTTAAAATGTTTACACATATCACAATTATCACATATACAATATTAGTTCACAAACTGCTTGCAATGCAGTGGCGTA